TCTTTTCCAGTAGTCTGGTAAATTTGGCCTTACCGTCATTTATCCATGGTAATTCTTTAGTCAGAGCTTATTGCGCGATATTTGTAAGATTTTTGTAACCCCGAGACCAGTTTTCTGTAAGAAAACCAAACTGCAGAAAGGGGAAATGCAGCTTCATTACTTTTTCTAAATTTTGTCGTTTTATTCTCCAACTTGTTAAAGGAGACGCGCAATAAGCTAAATCTTTATCTGCAATCTCATATGTGATCAATCACTTACTCGAATGATAGCAATTTATGTAGGAATGTAATATAAGAAATAGATAACCGGAGGATTTCGATCTTGGACAGCTTCTTCTCGACAGGTAATGTGGGAAGTAACGAACGAAGTTGGGCGAAGGCGAGATTGAATGATTCCACCCTGATTCTCAAAAAAGAAGACATTTTTATTAGAATCAAAGTCGTGTCAAAACTATGTTTGAATGATGACAATCGCATTTTTTAGTATAGAAATGTGAAAATAACCTAAATATGCTGGTTAAATAGATTGTAATGATCACCTTTCTCTTGTTGCATGTAGATTTCTGTACTTTGGGGTAGCTCTTCGTCTTTTCCTCCTCTCTGCTTTTGTTAGCTTTCGATAATCTTTTTCATCTGTCCTTGTTTCGAATAACATACAGGAAATACTCATATGTTCAAAGGTAGACAATTTGTTCATATTCTTCCTGGAAAGATTCGATATAAATTTTAGTCGCAATTCGATTGAGAAATAAGCGCCAAAAGATCAAATATATAATCATAGTAATGATTGAAACATTTGGACATAAAAAATCACGATGTATTTTTTTGTGTGATAAATTTGCCGATATCTAGGAGGACATATGTCTCCCAGGCTTTTTTGTTCCTAACGTAAATGCAGATTGCGTCGATTGCAAAGAATACATGATTTATATGCTTCTGTCAACTTTTTTTGCTGGCTCATTTAGCAGTTGCTCAGACATCAAAGTAGGACACATAAGAGACAGAAATAAACTGAGAAAGTAAGTAGAGAAGG